AGAGCTGTTGGGATTTTTGCCACGTGCACTGATTTATAAAACTTCTGTTTCCTTAAAGCTCACACCATTAGATGTTGTTTAGAACATGAGATWTTGGATGAGGAAATAAAGCATGAAATACAAATGAAATTGTCTCGGTTCTGGAGTCATAAACAGGCAAAAATATTAATCAATAAAGGAAAAAGGAAAAGAAGCCTCATTATAAAGCTGCTTTTGCTCATGTTCCAATTGTCTAAAACTCCTTTTGTGAGGGAGAAAAAGCGATACACTTTTAGTTTTGACATCTGATCCCTTTGATCACATGTTATATTGGAGAGAAACTGGAGTTTTGTCTCAGAGGACAGAAAACCAGACCTGACAGGAAGTCAGAGGTTTGGTTTCATTTGTTTGTCAGTAATTGTAATTTGCTTTTCAGCCTTTTGGTTGTGTTATTTAAATATAAAAGTTTAAACACATGCTTTATTAGAACTTGACTTCAAATGAGTAAAAAAAGAAACTAATTACATAACCGTGAAGCATCAGGTTAAACTCCWGACATGCAGGAGCTGCTCTGGATTTTCAGGTTCAGGCCTTAGACAGAATTAGTCTGATAGAACCATGCAGGCTGGGTTTTCCTCTGTTGTTTGTGGGGCGACCCCCAGGTTGCCCCCACAACTAATCCCCCCTCCCTTATTCTCTTCTAACACAAGCCCCCCTCTCCTCCCTCTCTCCAGTCATTCATGCCCGGGGGCCTCGGCTGATTCAGCCATCAATTTTCAAAAGAAGGAAACAGTTTAAGAGCCATGACGCTTCACACAGAGCTGCTGCTGGTGCTGCTGGTGGTGGTCAGGACCCGGCTGAGGCCAGCACAACCTGCTGGGTTCTGGTGTTAACAGGTTTCCTTTGACCTGAGGTTGGGACTGATGAGGTCATGACACCTGCAGGCAGGTAACAAAGGAGAAGCAACACTTTGTCTGCAGGTAAACATGAGAAAGTTACTGCAGGGTCAGGTTCAATGAGCAGAACCACAACGGAAATGTAAAAAATAGATATGCATTTAGTTTTAATGTTTTTTTCCTGTTCTAAACAAGTAACAATTTAACAACATTTGGGAAAAACTATATACAAAAAAAATCACTTTATAGTAAAAATAACTGGCATTATTAAGCTTATGTATTGCTTGGTTTGAGTTTTAAAATTTTAAAATTGGAGCACAACGAATTAAAAATTCATCTTATTTTTTACTGCTTGTAATTAAGAGTAGTATATTTTAAATAACCCAGACGCAATTTAAATACTTTAAAAATAAACATAAATGCACAAC